TTTTATACTTAAATAGGACTAATTTACTATCTATTTCATAAAATAATGTACTTTACTGTTTTCTTTAATTACTTTTGGTAGAAACATCATAGAGACCTGTAGTTTTCGCCATTCAAGAGAGAAGATACGCGGTCATCGAACTATATTGAAATTCGATTGATCAGTAATCGACCAATTATGTGAGCTCTTGATGGCAATTATCAAAAACAATATTCTATGCTATTTTCCTTTCAATTTAGACTTTTAATGAGACTTATCGATATTTCTATCTACACAATGCCGATATCCTTAACTTGTTCCATTCAAGAGTTATAAGACTTTTGCTGAGATCTCCGATTTCAGCCAATGGACCAGGGATCACCATCCACCTAGAAAAGCATCTAGGCAGGGCTAGTTTGCCATGTTGAGTGCAATTTGCAATGGTAATATTTGGTTTTAGGTTCACAATGATCTGACACCGTTATCTCAATTTTTCTGAAATTCTCCAATTATATTGCGATGACCGTGTTAAATCTGTTTGAACCTAAAAACAAATATCACTACGTGATTCACCATCATGTGTTACATCTGTCTATCTACTTTTTCGAGTGATGCTTGATCAATTGGCTAAAATCGAACATCTCTAGAAGTCTTATAACTCTTCACAGAACAATATCGTTTTTGAACATCTCCACCAAGAACTCATCTAATTTGTCAATTGTTGATCAATCAAATTTCGATACAGATCGATGACTCCGTATCTTCTCTCTTGAATGGTGAAAATCGCTGGTCTGTATGATTGTAACTATCGATTTATGAAATGAATAGTAGTGCCGCAATACTAAACAAAGCATACACTTATAAACATTGACGTAACACTGAATATAACAAGGCGAGTAATCAAGTCTCATTCTGAAATAATGCTATTAACAATATTGAATTCTAAACAATAAGTTTCTATAGTTAACAATTATAACGTTGTCTTAAATCGTATACATATGTAAACATATATTTATCTATATGCTGCCTTATATAAAGATACATCTGCATGAACAAAAATTTACCTTGTGCACGTCCATTAACAACCTTAACAATATCCTGTAGACATTGAATAGCTGGAGGTGCAGTATCAACTTGTCGTCCACCATGATTACTAGAAATAAAAAAAAAAACAAGATAAAAATATGTTCAATAAATCTCTGTTAAAATAGACCTAACAAGAATTCCATCTGCTCCATGTTGAATTGCTAATTGTGCATCAATTGTTGAAAGTATACCTTTGCAAATAATTGGTAATTTAGTTAATTTTTTTAATAATTCAATATTTGTCCATGTTATTGAACCGGTTTTAAAATTTTGCTTAACAATTATATTAGATAAATTCATATTGGCCATAGGCATACTTTTCATTAATTCTGGATCAATAGTTTTAGATGCTTCTTCAAACAATGGTAAAACATTATCTCGAACACGATCTGTTGGATGATCACATGTAACAATAATTGATCGATATCCATTTTTTTCAGCTTGTGAAACAATTTTTTCTAAAATTTCAGTTGGTGTTGTTAAATAAATGTGTAAAAATTTTGGACCTATATTTATTCGATATACAAACATAATATGTATGGCGAATAAAATTTAAAAAAAGGAATACTAAACCTGTTGTTTGTAAAACTTTCTCTTCGGGCATAGTTGAATACATCCAATTATATGTATAAATACATTCAGCTTCAGTTGCACCACGAGCTGTTGCAACTTCACCATCAATGTGAGCAAGACAGTGAAATGTTGATGGAGCTATTATTATTGGTGATTCATATGTCGATCTAAGATAAATTTATTTCTAATCTTGTTAAAAAATCATCATGAATAATCAAAAATTCTACAAAAAAAACACTTACCAATGCAGCCCTGTAATAGGTCAAAGTGTGAAACTCATAAACTCTGATTATTATAAATTTATGATATATTATCGAAGGGGTTAAAATAATTTATTGTAAAAAATGCCAAATAAATGACTAAACCAAAATTATAATCATTTTCATAGTTGATGAATGAGTTCTAAAATTTTATTACTTCGAAAACGTTTGCACTGAAAATCTCTATCCCACCTATTTATTTTATTTCGTTATGCCGAAAAAACTTATCTGTATTGTCAGATATATATTCAACACATAACTTCTGTTTTCCTAATAATAATCTATGCGATACAGGTCATAGAAAACAGGAAATATCATGTTATTCTTCGTTTTGTCTGTTCATCCATCATATTAGCTTACTATATACATTGATTTAATTGTTCAGTAAGCTTCTGCATAGACTATTGTTTCTCTAAACGAACTTTGACTTATACTATTGAGTTTTGAGTAAACATAGAATTGAATTAGTTCATACTTTTCTATGTTCATCCTAGCCTGGCTCTGCTAGATCAATAATATTACCATTTACTGATTAGGTATCTACCATAAGATCATTTCACTGCATTAAATATCATAATCTGTAATATATAAACTAATAAGAATTTACGCTAAAAATCTTTAGATTCATAGAATACTTTAGAATAGTCTAGAAAATATCAGAATGATCTAAGTGATGTATGGCTGACGCATCTTTTCTCGTTGTTAAGCCCTAGAGGCTTCGGAAGCTGAAAAAAAACCTCAGTTTAGACTTCCGTTCTGTATATTTTATTCGAAAATATGTAATTACATGAGTTTCACAAAAGACGAAACTTTTGTTGAACTGTGAAATTTCCTTATTAAATAATTATTTTCAAAAATATTAAAATGTATTCTTACCCAAATATATTTGTTTTTAATGAAATTTGAGTAACATCAATCAATACTCGTGGAATAATATTCAATTGTTTATCAAAATAATCTCTCGATGCTTGATAGGTATGACCTTGACCAGCTTTATAATCATAATAATAAAATCGATGTGTTTTCATTAATTTTTTAGCTAATTCTTCAATATCAAATAATGATTTACATTTTAAATATTCTTTTTTCTATATTAACAATAATAATAAACAATTATTTTAATTAAAAAAAAAACGATAAATATACTTGTTCTTCATCTTGCTTTTTCTTTTTTCGATGTTGAAAATAATTTCGAAGAATTACAAAACTTGCCAATGTTGTAGCAAATGATAAGAAAATATACAATTTATTTTCTGAAAAAATCACAAATTATACTTAACGCTTCGAAATAGTTTCTTTATCGATATATTTACTTGTCATTGACATTATAAATGATTTCTATTACTTTGAAAGTATCGTTGATTCAATGCTGAATTCTTCAAATGAAATGATTTATTAAAAAAATTATTTATACTAAATTAGATAGATCAGTATAAAGATCGATTTTACAATAATTTAAATACATATCTGTTTCTCTAAAAAATCGAATTTATTTTCAATGATTTTTTTTTACGAAAACCAGAGATGAGCATAGGTATGTATCGAGACTGAGGAATCATTGCAATTAAAGATGAGCTTTTTTTCTCTTGCAAGAATCCCCGAAATTTTTGTTTTAAACCCCTCAGCTTAATGTCATCTAGGTGTACCTACAATCAAACAGACTGGTCACAGCCGAAAAAAAGCCAAATCCTACTCAATCTCGGTCAAAATTTTCATTTTTACAATTTTTCGAAAAAGGACACCATTGTCTTTTTTTTTTCATTAAACTTTTCAAAACTGTTTCACGATAACATTGAATGCAAAAGTAATCAGATAAGTGTTGTGCTTTTTGCCTTTCTAACAGACATGCTCTGGAATGAATATAGAAAATAATTTTCATTTCAACACGCTCTATTACAAGAAAGCAAGTGTTAGGAATTGTTTTACTTTCGATTTTCGCTTGCAAAACATTTCTATTAATACGACACAACGGTCATCATTCAAACCATCACTTTTAAATCATGATAATAAATTCTGATATCGTTTTACAACTAATGAAGTTCTTCGGGTGCTGCCACTTTTATATATTCGGTACTTCTTTAAAAGTTTTAGTTTTTATCGAATAAGACTTTCAGATTCTAACAATGGAACCCGTGCAGAGCTTTAGTTTACTATGAGTTGCACGTATCACTATTGAAAAGAAAAACAACGTAAATTTTAACATTGATCGACATAAGTATCAATTTAGAAATAGAAATCAAAAAAATATATATATAAATTAATAAACAATCCTCCTTGATAGTCGTTTGTTCATTTGTACTCTTACTGCTTCCATGTTTTATTACATTATTCTCTTTTCATTTTCAACTTTGTAACACACTCAAAACAAAGTTACATATAGATTTACTAGTTGATATATATTCTCTATGAGAAGTTCCTCAGAATTCAGAAAAACTCAAAGTTCTACTTCAGTCAGAAAATAAAAAAGTAATATAAAGTTATCAAAAACGAATAATCAACAGCATTACTATGCTGATGGAACATATTGGTATGTCAAGTTTTTTATTAGATAAAAATAATAAATAGTAACGAACCTTTCGATATGCTAATTATTTCGAATTTTGCCAAGCATTTATTTATTCTGCTCAAAGTGAAACAACACGATTAGAGAAACATAAAAAAATATATTCTAAAATCATATCTACTTGATCATCATGTTCTTTTATAACAATTAATTAATCGAGTACTTCATCATCAACACAATCTAATCATGAAATAAAACAAGACGAAAAATAACATCTAAGTCTTCTGCAAACTCAAGTGGAATAGTTTTACCTAGACTCTTCTTAGATTTTAGACTGATATGCTCTTCGAAGAGCAGCGCAGTAAAACTCTTGAAAAGATCGCATTTCTCGAAAAACCATGCTAAGCGACATGATTTCTAGAATATGAAAATTAACAATTTACAATTTACAATCGAGAAGCAGGGCACGACATATTGTCTGCCCTTGTACATACTGGTTTTTCCCAAAAAGATATATTTTCATGGTGAATTTTCAAAAAAACATAATCAAAGTCATGGAATAAAAAGATGCAAAAGTTATCATATGATATTTATGAAATAACTATAATCAAGAAAAATTTTCAAAGCAACCATTTCAATTAAACTGTTGCACTTTTAATTCCGTGGATAAAAAATATAATGAAACTAATGTAATAATTTTCATGTGTTAAAACATGAAAATAATAGAATAAAAAGAATGCGGAAACAATACAAGTCATGAAATGATTTCAACTTTTTTGGAATGATCATATTCATAAAATTCTTTTGATGAGAAATCTTAAAACTATGTGTTTGCACGGATCATCGTCTTGACATGCTTCGTTTACTCGAAATTTAGAGGAGTTGTGTCATGTTCGTCCTCGTAAATGTCCTATCTTGTGCTCATATCTCATAAGAACATGACCAAAATATGGTAATATTTGGTTTTAAAAATGCAAACATCTTTACTGTTTATCGCTTTGAATTTAAATCTAATTATCTTGCTAAAGAATCTTACCTTTAACAAAAACCGATCAATTTTGTTTATGTTGATAAGCAAGTAGAACCAGACAAAAAGTGAAAAATATAATGTATATAAATGCTTTTGTAAATATGATGTTGCATATAATAAAGATAAGGTAAAAGATTACAAAGCATTTGTTAAGTAAAATTTAAAAAACAAAGAATAGAATCGCTGGTTATCGTATGTGCTATAACAACAAAGATTTTTTAAAGAATATGAGTGCTATATTCAAGGAAGAGACAAATATTTCTACTAAAACTCTTAATAGATTGATATATAATTAATAGTTTATTCTATTTTACAAGAATATCTTTAAAAAAATCAGTATGGAAAATTATTATCTGATTTCTTAGCAAATAATAACTAAAAACTAGATGAAAAGCAAAAGTAACTTCCTTTGAATATAAGTGTAAACAGTTTTAAATAAGATTCTTCATTTTCATGTAGTGGATAAATTCATAATATTTAGGTAAAAAGCTTAATTGAAAAGCATCTTACTAACTAGAGTTCATTTCTCAACCGATAATCTATCGATTTTGTGAATTAATATTTTCTTGTCAATACTACTAGAAATCAGTTTAGTTTTTCTTTTAGGAAAACTAATTAAGAGTAAAATAACAAAAGAAGAATTTCACATTTCTCCATTGTACTCTGAAAATAACATTAAACTAAGTAGAAATGATGAAAAAAAAAGAGTCTGAGTATTTCCATGTAAACCAAGATAAATATCGTGTTTGACATTTCATCAAGAATTTTTTTCTGCAGTTTTTTAAAGTTCTAAATCTTTATATAGAAATTTTCCGAGTAAATCATCAATAACCTTTTTCGTTTATTTAGAAAAGTTTAATTAAAATACTAATCCTAAGAGAATTTCATTCGAAACATTGTTAATCAATAATTAAATTTGTATATTTTCGTGCATACACGAGTTTAAGAGATATTGATCAAAGTAATAGTTTATCAATATTTCAAAGATATTCATTTATTAAATGTAACTTTCAAGATCTGACCTATATGAAAATTCAATAACACGTTTTATTAACAACTGAAAAAACAGAGTGTTTCTATATAATATTTAAGGACTTTTGAAGTTTTTCTTGGACGAAGTTCTAATATTAACTATTAAACGAAAATATTTATACAATAGAAATAGCTTTGATTGATATTATTTATTAAGTTCAGAAAAAGTGAACAAGAAGATATTGTCTCAGAAAACAAGATGAACATTAGTATCTAAATGTTCTATAATGGATACCAAGCAGCAGGTTTACATGATTCAATTCCAAAAATTAACCAAAAAAAGGCATAACAAATTAACATAAAAAAATACAATATATTTGGTTGTTTAATCCATTTAGCTTTTAATATAATATTTTTTGATTGTGTTGGTTTAGCATGTGGTCCAGTTAAACGATAATGTGCATTTAATAATGGTCCACACATTAATTTTAACCATAATGTTGGTTCAGTAAAGAAAATTCTAGTAAAATTAGGTCTACATCCAATTGTTCTCGATAAATCATCTGAATAAATTAAATAATCAGTTAAACTAGTAATACGATTAACACGATAAGATGTTAGTTGCCATTTTAAATATTCAACATATTTAGAAATTTGTTTTAACATATCAGATTTTGTAGGTAATTTTAATTTATTTGAACATAATAAAGCAAACCAACGTGCTTGAAGTTCCATTAATGGTGGTATAGCACCTAATGCAGGTCGAGCAAATCCAATCCAAAATACTTCATCACCAAGATCTGGATGTATACAATGTTTATATAAATTATGAGAAATTTTTGCTTCATTTCCAATACGTTTTAAATTCTCATCGGCTTGATCATTTTGTTCTATAAATGGAAATGAACTTTGAAATCCAGTACAACAAATAATTTCATCAACATATTCTTCTGAATTATCTTCAAATATAATTGAATTTGTTTTTAATTCTTTTATTCCAGGTTTTCGAAAACAATTGGATGTAGACCTAATTTTACTAGAATTTTCTTTACTGAACCAACATTATGGTTAAAATTAATGTGTGGACCATTATTAA